GGGGGTCTTGGGGCACCGGTGCTCGGCACCGTCTCAGCCGCTCCTCCCGGCAGGCTCTGAGTCTCCTCCGTCAGCAGCCGGCACTTGCTGGGCACGGCTTGCCCGGGCTGGAGCTGGGGCACGCTCCTCTGCTGGAGCCCGGGAGGGGGACGCACGCAGGGCAGGTGAGCTGTGGCCGTGCCGCGCTGCGCCGTGCCGCATTGTGTCGTGCCGCATTGTGCTGTGCCGCGCCGTGCCTGGAGGCGTGTGCGTGAGGAGGCCGGCAGCCTGGCTAAAGCGTTGGGCTGTCCCAGTGCCCTCGGTGGGCTCCGTCCCTTGGCTCTTGATCACCTCTCACGCCTGAAGCGGTGCCGTGCCTTCTCCCCCTCCTAGGTCTGAGCGATGCCATACACGTAGCGATACTTTACAATTCCTTTAGCCTTGGCTAGGCTGCTGCGGTATGTTAATAATTTGCTGGAGCACCACTGGTGGTGCTCATCTAAAGGAGAAAATTGCCCCTTTCCAAATTACAGCTTTAATAACCCAGAGGCTCAGTGTGTTCCTGCTTCTGAAATTTAAATTGAAGTTAATTTAAATAAAATTGGCTTTTTAGCAATCAATCTGCCGTAGATCCAAGCCAAGCTTTTACACTGTAAATTGAATATCCCTTTGGCACGGATGCTCAGCTCTCGTCTCAGCTCTTCCAGCGGTTCCCTGTGCTCGTCCCCGGTAGGACTTTGGCCCCGTGTCAGCCGCCCCACCTTGGCCCCCCGGGTTCAACCCCAGAGCCAGCCCCGGTGTCTGCTCCCCTCCAGTGAGGAGGAGGTGGGTGGCTCAGTGCAGGAGATGGGGCCACCATGTCACAGTGGCACAGGGTCGTGTCCGGTGCAAAACCCTGGGCAGCGTGCCCCGTCCCTGCTGGGTGGCAGGGGGTGGTGGCTGCCGGCAGCGCCGCTCTGTCCTCTGGCTCGGGCAGCGTCTCTGGGTGGGTTGTGCTTCCCGGCAGACGCTTGCTCACACCGGGCGGTTTGGGGAAGCACCCTCCCAGCTTTCAGAAAGTTCCTGGTGTTCACTCTTGCTGTCTGGGGGTGGGGCTGGGCACTGGGGCACAACCAGTCAAACCGAAGGTGTGGGGGTAAAACCCTCCTGCGGTGTCTGTGCTGCTGGTGGGAGGGCACAGGCTTCTTGCACGGAGCCTCTTGGGTCCAGACCCAAACGATCCCATGTAAAGCCAGACGGGAGGCTGTGGCTGTCGGTCGGTGACACCTCCCGTGGCATGGGAGTCACTTTGTGCCAACCGCTAGGTCTGGTGGAGCTCGGTGGCGTGAGGCCGGAGGATGCCCTGGGGCACGGGAGCGAGCGGAGAGCGGCTGAGGGGGAGGGTGGGGTGGTCGGGGTG